TCTGTGGGTTATATAATCAGAAGGGAAATTACTGGGCTATGGCGTGTTGCTTTATCAAGTTTACTGTATGCTTCCAAACTGCTTTCCATAAATGGCTGAATTACTTTCCCCCATTGACATACAAGAGTATCACTTTTCTTAGTGTGACCTCTAATATTTCATTGTTTTATTTTACATTTGCCTTACTTATTTGGTTTAATATCTATTTCTATATAAAGAAACAACTTGAATATCTTTTGTTAGATGGGGTTTCTCTGTGTAGTTTTGGCTGTTCTGGAACTTGCTCTGTAGACCAGGCTGGCCTCAAATGCATAGAGATCTGCCTTCCTCTGCCCACAAGTGCTGAGATTAAAGGCTTGTGTTAACATTGCCCGGCTGGAAGAATGCTTATTTTGAATACACAAAAATCCTTTCTGTCTCTCAGCTGCACCCTGACAGAGGTCAATGGTCCTCAGAGTCTCTTGTGACAACGTCTGTGGTGGCCTCCTTGTCTTCCACTTTGCTTTGCTTTAATCCTCTTTCCACATCAAAGCCTCCACTATCTCTAATAAGCCACTCTGACCATGCTGTTCCTAAATTCATCACATCCAAGAAAACTAAACAAAGTATCATATAAGACATGGCTGCCTCCACCCTCTGCCAACTTTTAAGATTTGCCATGCCAGATGTGACACCTTCTGATCCCTCACTATCTTCTGTGTAGACCGTCATCTTTCCTGGTGCTTCAGATGGACAGGGCAAAACAGCAGGGTGTGTAGGAGTGTATGCTCTGAAGCCAGCCTACCTGGGTTTGAATGGTCTTTTTTGTTCTTAGGGAAGTTGCTTAACCCCTCCGTGCCCCAGAGTTCTCATGTGGGAAATGAACATAGCAGTAGTGCTGGCCTCATTGGTTTGTATTAATTGAGTTAATACATATGAAGAGCTTGTAATAGTGTCTGGCAGCATCTAGTAAGTGCTCAATAAATCTTCATTCTGATGATCACTGTTATTAACTAGTTACTGTCATTTATATCATTATGGATGACACTTGGCAGGAAGATGTACCCAAGGCAGAAACACCTGGACATCCCCAAATGGAGGTCTGGAAGTCACCCAGAAGTCAATCCTGGCTGGGGTACCTGACAGTAATGTTCTTGTTCCTTGCCTATGTCCCTTGACCCTCCATTCCAGACACTCAACTTCTTGACAGAAACAGCTAGAGGTACAGGAAAGCACATTGTATCAAAGGATCCTGGGAACAGTCTTTGCTTTTGTAAAACCCTGGGCTGCCACCACCCCAGTCGTCTCCATCCCAAGTCTGCCTTCACTCTTGAAGCAGGCTTCAAGTCTGAGCGCTCAGTGGCATACTCCAAAGCTCTGGGCCAGAATTCCTCCGGAATCCAGTTTCCCGTGTTGGGGGCTCACATGTCCCTCACCATAATGTTCTCTTTCTGAACTCTTCCAAGCACAAACTTTTTACTTTGTGTTCTCCTTATGACCTGGGCAGAAAGCAGCCCTTCTGAGCAACCAGGAGCAGAAAATTAGCATGATGTTTGTGTGATAGGGCAGAGCCAAAAAGTTCTACGCCTGATTTTCTAGAGGCCCGGCTGTTGGCTTCGATCACAATGGAGCACTTAAATGTGGACAGGTGTGAGAGTCAAGGATCAGCCTGGGGGATTCGGAGCTGCTCTGGTTTGGCAGAGCAAATGGGGAAACGACAGGTGTCTGCAGATGCACCGACCCATGAGACACTGCACCCACAGCTCACTTGGAGATTGAATTCTCATGAAATGGGTCCCTTTGTGATGCCTCCCCGTCCCCACACACTGGTTCTCCACGGGGCTTCAGAAATTCTGCATCCTGAGGACTTCTGCCAGCCTTGGTACTTGGAGGTTCCATGCGACTCACTCGGGATTAGCTGCCCTTGGAACCAGAAATTCTGACGTTTTTAGGCTGTTGGTTGATTACAGAACACTGCAGCCATCTATTTGTATAGTAATTAAGGAGACTTGTGGTTTGAGCACATGGTTAGGACCAACAGAACTGACAGGACATAGGCCCACTGAATGGGGACCCCAAATCTAGGGTGCTGAGAGTCACTAAGATTTCTCTGAAAATATGTCCCGCTCAGGCTTGACAAGCAGGCATATTATGGGAGGGAGAATTAATCTGACAACCCCCCAATATTGGAGTTAGAAATTGGGTTGGAGAACTCTGTAAAATAGGCATTTCCCTTACTCTTGCCTAAGGTGGATAAGAGCCAGAGCCAGGGCCTACTAGGTGAATCACACTTCGTGAAGTTTTGCTAGCCCTCTTACATTGTGGAGTGATGGCAAAACCCACTTAAAACTGACATGTCCCCATGTCGATCACGAGGCAGGGACAGACAGCTGCTCTTTAGTGAGGCTTAGAGGCAGACAAACTCAAAGGACAAATGGCAGCCACCAAAGGGAAGGAAGGAAGTAGAATACCGGGGTCTGCCGCACAGGGAAAGAAGAAAGTTGGATGAGGGTCACTGGAGGAAACCGCCTGAAAGGAGTAGGTGAGCAGCCACAAAGTTCATGTGTAAAGGAAAGCTGCCTACAGCACTACTATTCATAACCACCAGACTGGAAATAATTCAAGTATCCATCAAAGGACAACTAAGTGCCCCACAGAACAACTTTATCCTGGAATACTATACAACCATTAAAAACACTGGAGAAGATATAAATGTGCTGATACAAAAAAGATATCTTGAAATAAAGGGGGGGGAAAAAGCACAGTGTACCAAAATATGTATATAATGCAATCCTTTCTGTGTTGTGTGTTTTCTTTTTAAGGTCAGACATGTAATGTTTACTAACACATTCTTGTATTGCATAGACAATATCTACAAGGAAGTACAGTTATTCTTTGACTGATGGTGTTACAACCTGCTAAACTCGTGGTAACTTGAAAACACTGAGAGTGGAAAATGCATTTCATACATCACAGTCTAGCCACACAGTTCACTGTAGAGTACTGCTTGTGTCTCCTGGCTGATGAGGAGCTGCAGCTCACAGCCCCTGCCCAACACCCACCAGAGAGTACTTTATAGGCCAGGAAAAGATCAAAATCCCAATGCACACTGAATGTGTATTGCATTGACACTGTCATAAAGTCTAAAGCCATTAAGTGGAACCATCGTAAGTCAGGGCTATGCACAAACACGGTTGGCAGCATCTCCAGGATTGGATTATAAGGGAGGAATCAGGGAATTGTTACTTTCAACTCTGGAGTCTTTTATATGGCTTGTCAAGTTTTTATATGTACGGGTATTGTGTCTGCATGTATGTCTGTGTACCATGTGGGTGCCTAGTATCCAAGGAGGCCAGAAGAGGATGTTAGTGTCTCTGAAACTGGCTGCAAGTCAGCCATGTGAGAGCAGAGACTCAAACTGGGTTGGCTAGAAGAGCAGCAAACTACTCTTAACCACGGAGCCATTTCTCTAGCCCCTCGGATTGACAATTTTAAACAACTTTTTACTTTTTAAAAAATTCTGTTTTAAAAAGACTGATGATTTCAGCAAGGTGACTTTCCGGCTGTCCTGTGTAGCAACAGGCCCTCTGTATCAGTGGATTCAGTTGTGTGAAGTTGGGACTGGAGAGTGGCTCAGGGGTTAAAAGCACCGGCTGCTTTTCCTTGCCCCCATATGCTGGCTCATAATTGGCTGTAATCCAGTTCCAGGGGGTGCTGAACCCTCTTCTTGCTTCTCTGAGCATCAGGCATACACATAGTGCACATACTCACATGAAAGCAAAACACTCATACATATCAGATGAAGACAGATATAAATTTTATATGAGGACTGAAAATATTTTAGGAAAAAAAAACCTTTGTTCTGAATGTGTACAGACTTTTTGTCATCTTCTAAACTAATTTCATTGTTTTAGGTATTGTAGTAGTAGGCTGCTTGTTGGTTCCCGGCTGTTTAGACCCAAAATAATCACACAGAAACTGTATTAACTAAATCACTGCTCGGCCCATTAGCTCTAGCTTCTTATTGGCTAACTCTTACATATTAATTTAACCCATTTCTATTAATCTGTGTATGGCCATGTGGCTGTGGCTACTGATTGAAGTTCTGGCATCTGTCTCCAGCAGGGCTACCTCTCTGACTCCGCCCTTCTTTCTCCCCACATTCACTTTAGTTCCCCTCCCCTCGCACTCCTCTCCCCCCTTAGCTCTTTCTGCCCTGTTCTGCTATGGGCTCAAAGTAGTTCTTTATTCATTAACCAATAAAAGCAACACATAGACAGAAGGGCCTCCCACACCAAGGTATTATAAATAATCTAGACGTAACCTAAAGTGCTATGTGCAGATAATACAAGAGACTTGAACAACTTTGGATTTGGGTCTCTGAGGGGATCCTGAGAAACCATTCAGCTGGAAAGGTTTCCTCTTGCTTCTTTGCTTTCTTCACTTCTTTCTCCTTTCCCCTCTCCCTCCCCCTCCCTCCTTGTTCTATCTACCCATCTCCCCTCTCTCTCTGCCGTGAAGAGAATGGAATCCAGGGCCTCATACATGCTAGGTGAATGAATACTCTACCCCTGAGCTATATCCACAGCCTGAGATGCTAATCGTACTGGGAATGTGGACTTTAGTCTTCCGATTTCCTCCTTCATTGAGGGTAACTTTGCATCGTTAATTTACATTCTTTTCAAGCACATGTAGAATATTGAGGGGAAAAAAGCCTAGCAAGAGTCAGGGAGATCCCGACAGGATGGTAACAGCAAAGGATGCTCTGAATGCTCTCTGAGCTGTTCTCTAGTGCAATAGACTCAGTAATCAGCAAAAGTATCATATTAAGTAACACTTAAATAACGAGTATATACATGCCCTTTTGACAGAGGTAACGAAGGAAAAACTTGAGCTGGTGAATTTTCTCTGTTTTTTTCAGCTTTCACTTCTAATTATGCTGACAGAACTCTTTGCTCCTGTGTTGAAATGCCTCTGAATAAATGATCAGGCTAATTTATATCTCACCTTTTTCCTTGAAGGATCGAAGCAGGTCCGTTGCTTGTGAATGCAGTTCGGAATCTGAAGAAACCCTCTCGCTGGTGGTTGTAATGCTCATTTACGAAAGCATGAAAATTCCCCCCGGATCTTGATGCATGCCCACAGTTGCCAACGTCTGAAGAATTCTGTTTTTCTCTGGAGAGACGTCCACACCTGCCAGTCACAATAATGCTTAGATATTGACAGGGACAGATGTCCAAGATAGCTTACGTGTGGGGTGGGGGGAACCCAAACCCACAGGCTACAGCCAACTCCAGGGTAATAGATCTTGACTGCATTGGTAGATTATCTACTTATGCGTATAGTTCAGACACCAAGAAAGGAAGGAGGAGACACAACTTTTGATAATCTTTATTTGCAATGCTGAAAATAAACCCAGGCCTTACACTAGGCAGGCAGGAACTTAACATTGGAGGGAGAGAAGGGAGAAAAATAACCTTTTTGGGTTTTGTTTTTGTTTGTTTGTTTGTTCGTTTTGTTTTTCAAGATAGGGTTTCTCTGTGTAGCCTTGGTTGTCCTGGAACTAACTAACTCTGTAGACCAGGTTAGCCTCAAAGAATAACAATCTTTTTGAGCAAATACATTTCTAAGAAAGCACTGAGGTCATGAGTAGAGGAAGAGTGAAAACTAGGGCATTTTGCTTGTTTATTGTTTAGCACTTCTAAAAACCATTATTTCTTTTTATTTTATGTGTCCGGGTGTTTTGCCTGCATGTATGTCTGTGTACCACATATGTGCAGTGTCAGTGGAGGCTAGAAGAGGATGTCATATTCTATTGAACTGGAGTTGCAGATGCTTGTGAAGGGCCATATGAGCGCTGGGAACTAAACTGGGTCCTCTGGAAGGGCAGTAAGTACTCTTAACTGCAGAGCCATCTCTCCAGCCCTGCTTAGCATGTTTAGTGTATACATAGGTGAGATGAGGGAACACAGTTAACTGCAGGCTTGAGATTGTTTAAGCTCTAAAGGGTCAGGGTTCTTCTATGATAGGAATTTCTGATTTCCGGCCTCACTGCCCACCCCCTCGATCTGTCTGGGCTCAGTTGACTTTCTGATTATTAAGACTCCAAACTCAGAGTTGGGAAAGCTTGTCCATAGTCCCCACTACTCAGGAAGCTGAGACAGGAGGATTGATTGGCATGCTTAGGCCATATAGGAACCCCATCTCAGAAGAGAAAGAGAGGAAAATGGAAAGGAAAAAAGAGTATGTTCTCCATTTTTCTTTTTTGGCTTCCTGATTCCATAGAATTGACATCAACTTGGACCTTCTAATGAAACCTTATGTCTTTCTCTTCTGAATGTTTTCTTGTGCATTTCTTTATATAAATGCCTTAAGAAGCTAGATAAGTATAAAATTTGTATGTAATCAATGAAATATTGAACACAGAGAGTTTTCTGAAAGCTATGTCTAGGAGACAGAGAGTTAACTCAACAGGTAAAAGCATTTGGCTCCAAAGCCCAGTGACCCGAATTCAATCCCTACAACCCATGTGAAATGCTGAGCCATGGCAAGCATCTGTAATCCTAACACTCCTAGAGTGAGATAGAGTTCATGGACAAGGTAGCTTGGAGTATGCTGTGCAGCAGCAGAAATATGAGACCTTACTTCAACAAGGTGGAAGACAAGCACCCACCCAGGAAAGCTGTCCTCTGACTTCTACAAACTCCATGGGATACATATGCTCCAACCCCAAACACAGAGTGCTGTGATTAAATCTGAAGCAACAGCTGGGCATTGTAGCACTTAATTGTAATCCCACACTTTTCAAGTGGAGATTAAGAGAGTCAGGAGTTCAAGGTCGGCCTTGACTACATCTCAAATGTAAGGTTAGCCTGAGCTATATGAGACCGTGTCTCATAAACAAAAAAAGGGACTGGAGAGATGGAACAGCAGTGAAAGCATTGGCTGCTCTTACAGAGGATTCTAATTTGGTTCCCAGCACCCACATGGCAGCTCACAACCATCTGTAACTCCAGTTTCTAGTTATCCAGTACCCTCTTTTTACCTCCATGGGCACTGCATGCACATGGTACAGACGTACATGCAGGTGAAACACCCATACACATAAAAGAAAAATGTCTTGGGGCTGGAGAGATGGCTCAGTGGTTAAGAGCATTGTCTGCTCTTCCAAAAGTCCTGAGTTCAATTCCCAGCAACCACATGGTGGCTCACAACCATCTGTAATGAAGTCTGGTGCCCTCTTCTGGCCTTCAGGCATATACACAGACAAAAAATATTAAAAAAAAAAAGAAAAAAAGAAAAATGTCTTAAAACAAGACAACCCAGCACACTTGTGCACATCGTCGCTCAAGAGGCAGAGGCAGGACTGTCTCCTCTCCAGGGGCGGGAAAACTACACGGGAGCGTTTTGCCAATAAACCTGCTTTTTATTTAAAAAAAAAAAAAAGAGGCAGAGGCAGGTGGAGTTCTGTGAGTTTTAGGTCATCCTGGTCTACATAGCAAGTTCCAGGCCAGCTAGAGCTACATAATGAGACTCTGTCCCCCCCCAAAAAAAACCCAGGCAAAACAAAAACAATAAATAAACAAAAACTTGGAGGTAAACTAGCATTTCTATGACCAAGGATGCTTACCAGCTTAGTGACTGAAAATAGGCCCTGGAATAAGGTGGTCCCCTCGAAGTGAGAAGGCTACAGCTTTCAAGTGGGGCTCTCCAGTGGCGAGAGGGACTTTAACCAGCAGAGAGGTTCTCTGGGTGGAGCATTCTTCAGGGGCTGGAACTTCCTGGAGAAAGGCTGTTGGGCCAGCTGGGATTTACTGGGGTTTATCTAATAATCCTTGGTCTGGAGACACAGATTGCTGTCTGCCTTTTTTTTTTTTTTTTTAATGTGCTGTACCAAGATAAAATCCCAGTAAACGAGAGGCCTAGAAGAACTGAAACCCCTTGAAGTAATGGATCATCCCCAAGGCCACCCAAGCAGAGAAAGTGGGGAGGAACACGGAGGCTCTGGGACACAAGAGAGGGGTAGTACCCACGGAGGCCTTCCAGGAGTCTTGTTGGAAGGGAGCAAGAGGCAGACCCCAGAACCAAATCTTGTATCACCTGGAAAATTCTTTACTCTCTGTGGATCCCTGGGTTGTGTTTTTTCACATTTTCTACCTCTGTTTCCATGGTGATTAGCAGTAAAGCAGTTGCCAGTAAAATAGTAAAAGCTGAAAGATAAAATGTATCTTTAGAGGCAGGCAGTGTTCCATCAGGAGAAGAAAGCAGGCTGGCCCCAGAGCTGCCTTCTGGAAGTGGAGGTATCTGTCCTGGCCTCCAGCTTGGGCAGAGAAGGCTCGGAGAGAAGTAGAAGGTTTAGTTTTTGTAAAATGTCCACCATTATTTGTCCCTGTATTGCATTTAATTTCCTTGTATTTGTTTTTTATATTTCTAGCTAAACCAAAGAATGGAATCATGACTTACACGATCCTGTATTCTGGAGTGCCTGCTATATGCAGTCTGGTAAGGAACTGGGCAGATGTCAGAGACTCAATATAGTTTATTTCCTTCTTTTTTTAGTTGAAAATATTTCTATATAAGACAGGTATGGTGGGTGCATGCCTTTAATCCCAACACTCCAGAAGCAGAGGCAGGTAGATCTCTGTAAGTTAGAGGGTAGCCTGATCTATGTAGCCAGTTCCAGGATGTTGAGAACTGTGTAGTGAGACCTTGTCTAAAAATTCTTTTAATGCATATACATGTGCAATACATAACTATACCCTTACTTCACTTTTCCCTTAGCTCCTCTTCAAACTCATATAATTATGTGTGGAGGCCTGAAAATATGAGCCTATTTCCACGTTGAACAATTTACCTCTCTAGTTCCTTCAAGGTTATTGTGTTTCTACTTCAAACAAAGGTCTCACCTAGCTGTGGACTGGAGAGTTCTGCTCTCTCAAGGTTATTGTCAACAGGTGTGGCTAATATTGTATTTCAGGAATAGAGAAGTAGATATGTTTCTACCTCAAACAAAAGTCTAAGGATCCTTCTATTTACATCCATTTCCCCCTAGTGACATCAACTGATGATTTGAAATTGGGCACAATGGGAGGATTTACACCATAGAAATCTCCAGATGTTAAAAATGGTGCTTTGGGTCCTGCCTTTAATCCCAACACTGGGGCAGGGGACAGGGGCAGTTAATCTCTGTGTGTTCAGGGCCAGCCTGGTCTACAGAGAGTGTTCCAGGACAGCCAGCGCTACAAAGACAAACCCCCCCCCACACCCCCCCCAACAAAATGGTGCTTGGGAGTTAGAGAGATAGCTCAGAAGTTAAGACTTCATACTTCCCCCAGAGAACTCAAGTTCAGTTTTCAGCATCCACATGGCAGTTCACAACCATTTGTAACTCCAGGTCCAGGGGATTTGACACCCACTTCTGGCCTCTGCAGGTATTGCATGCACATGATGCATAAACATAAGCAAACACCCATTCACAGAAATAATAAATCTTTAAAGGGGGAGGACTTTTCTTCTGGTTTTACTTGGCAGGTCATATAGTTCATACTAGTGTTTCTATTCTCCCTGCCCTAAGGCTGTGAGAAAATGACTATACAGTCCTTCGGAAGAGCAGCCAGTCCTCTCAACCACTGAGCCATCTCTTCAGCCCCTTGTCTATTGTTTTTATTTTTTCTTTTGCCAGACAAAACTTTTTTTAAAAAAGTTGTTACGAGGTAAAATATGTTTATACTTTCTTTTATAGCTTCTTTGTTTCCAGTCGTGGTGTGTAAAGTGCCCCTCCCTTTCTCTACCAAGCTTATAGCTTCCTAAATTTGCAAGATTGTTATTGTCTTATTTTTTCACATTTGTCTTTAATCTATACAGAGTTCATATTTGTAAGTAGTATAAAATAGGAATCCAGTTTTATTTTCTTCCAGATGGAAGTTGACTTGGCACCATTTATTAAATAATCCATTCTTTTTCATGGAATTGAAATACCAACTTTGTCATACAGTAAATTCTCATATGTATACTTGGTCTATTTCTGGGCTCTCAATTTTATTCCACGGATCCATTTATCTATTCCCATGCCAATACCAAATTGATTTAATTACAGAGGTTTTATAGTTCACTCTGATATCTGGGAAGACAAGTCTCACTCTTTATTTCTCCTTCTTCACATTTTTATTTGCCTCTCTCAAGTATTTATTCTGCTATGTAACTTTGAAATCATTCAGTTCATTTTCCCCTCCAAATAAAAACCTTCTTGTTATCCAATTAAAATCACATCAAATGTGTGGCATTAATTCTAATAAAATTGATTTTTCTATCAGTATTCTTTTATTATTGCCAAAGATATTTGCTGAGTACCTACTTTGTGACAATCTCACAGGATAAAACAATAGACAGACATAGCCCCCTTTCTCTTGAAGGTCAAACTATTCCATTTATCTTAAGTGGCCTTGCAATTTCACTCTTGAATATGTATATATTCAGTAGAAATGAGTGCTGACACCCACCTCAAGATAGTACAAGAACACTCATAGCAGCTTTATGCAATAAACAAAAAGGAAGGCATACTACTGTTCCAACAGAAGCATGGGGTAAATAGTAGTCTGTTTCTTATACAGTGGGATACCACACAACCATGAAAAGGAGTGAACTTCTGATACCTGCAACAACATAAATGAATCTCACAGACAGGCTGAGCACAGGAAGGTAGATGCCAGTATTTAGTAATTGTCCTTATACAAGTTCAAAGTCAGGCCTATTTATATAGAGAGAATAACGCCTCCTCTGGGGAGGTGAATGCTTGTTGACTGTGAGGGGACAAGGGCCCCTTCTGGGACAGCTTGTGCTTCATCTTTGTCCTGGCCAGGGTTATATGAATTCACATACCTATTTATTGAGTCATGTGCTTGAGAGCATTTGCTTTACTGTTCTAAGCAGTGTTTCAATCAAGATGAATAAGAATAAGAAGGAAATTTACTGCCACATAAGATTGTTTTTTGCCCCGCCTGGGTGTTGAGGATGAGTGGTCTGGGTGGGCCTCTGCCTTCTGCTTTCTCTCTCTGGGAAAATGACTTTCTAGTGTTTTCCAGCCTGGGCTTCTGCAGTCTTGAAGCTACTGCAGCAATGATGAGCAATGATTTTCTAGCCTCTCCTCCTTTTATAGATTTATGAGAAAACATCTCTGGGTGAACTACAGTACGGCTCGTAGAGAAGCAACAGACGTGGGCCAGCCAGCTTTGACTCCCTCTCCCCAACTGGTCAATAAGAAACCGCGGGGTTTTTCTGCCTTACCCCCAAAAGAGTTATAAAAGTTCAGTAAGTGCCTGGAAAGCAGGCAAGACTCTGAGATGCAATCTGGATCACCCATTACCAATTTGCTTTGCTCACCCACCGTAGTGGCTGGGCCTTATGCTTCCTAGGGGAAAATGAGCAGTTTGGATGCCTGCTCCCTCCTTCTCCCTTCTCCCATCTCATCCACTCTCCTTTGTTCTCCATCAGCGTGCTCCCTAATGGGGGGCGGGTGGTCTATATTTGTGGCTCTTTGGGGAGAAAACTTGGAGCCCAACTTGGGGTCTCACATGTAACCCCAAGACTGCAAGCGTGAGATGTTGCCTGTGGCAGTTCTAAACTGCGGCTTGCCATGTGCTGCCGCTGAGTTGCAGCTATTTCCTGCCATTTTGTATTTCTGATTTCTGGGGTTGTGAGTGACTCACGCTTCCCAGTTCATTGTGAGGACATGTCCCACCGAGCTGACTGCCTGATGCTCCTGGAGGACATTCCTAACCCACCACTCTGCAAAGTTATTAGAAGGCTAACTCCTGAAATCACTAATCCCCAAATAGCCTCTATTCTCTCCACTGCTGGCTTCCATTCTTTGATTTTATGCACAGTAGTTCCCAACTCAAGGCCAAAAATTCTACCCCATGCCGAGCCACTTTCAAAGGAGAACCAATATGCTAAGACTGGAGGGGGATTGTGAATAGCAGCTAATTGTCAGTTTGTCTAGTGAAAAGAGCTTCCTCTCCCCCCCAGCAGGCTGGCTATTTGTTAAAGTTTTCTGGGGTTTTGGAGCACCTCGCCGGTAGGGGCAGTTCAAACTCAGCGGTTTTAATTATTAATCAGGTCAAAGGCTGATGACAGTTTTTCTTCTCTTCAGGGAAGGATCTTGAGAGTTCACAGGGGACACGTCCAGGCCCTAGTCCTGTGATGGGGAGAAAGGAGAGGAGCGGGCAAATGATTGAAGCCAGAGCAGTCTTGAGTCGTTAATGTCAGACCGTGTGGAAAGTCGCGTCGGGGCCTGTGGGCTCCTTACAAGGAATGTAGGTCTCTATCCTTTCCAAAGATTCGTGGTTTTCCGAGTCGAACAATTCCATGTCCGCAGCACACATGAACATGGATCCTTTTGCATGTGCCCTTGCAAAGCAGAGCACAGAAGAGGTGGAGACTCTTCATATGTGTCCACTCTGGGGTGTCAGCTTCCTCCTGGTGGCAGTGGGACGGCCACCTCTTTGTGAAGCACACTGTGGGAAAGGCTCGAGGCTTTTCCTGGTTTGGGTCTGTAAAGTCTCTAGTGCGCTGACTGTGTTTGCCCTACCTCCCCCACGTCTTTTTGATCCCTAGGGATCGCCCTTCTCCTCTTGGCTTGAGACCTCGGCTTGACAAAATCCAGAAAAGTCTTCGTCAGCCATTCCAAACAATCCCAGCAGGCGCTGCCTCTTGCCCTTGTTGCTAGGCAGAGTCCCTGGTTGCTAGGCCACCAGTGTTTCTTCTCAGTATGAGAAAGACGTACAGATTTCCAGTGACCCACTGAATCCTCAAGCCGCCCACCCACCAGCAAAGTGAGTAGATCCTAAACCTTACTGTGTGTGAACTAGGTGCCCAGTGTAGATCAATTCGAAATGGGAAAACAGGCAGCAAAGGCAGGGTATTCCTTATAGAGGTGACCCAGTATGCCATATGAATGACGGGCAGGCCATCTGGGAAGTTTCTCTGGACCATGGCCGGGACATGTCCCCCTGTGAACTCTCAAGACCCTTCCCTGAAGAGAAGAAAATTTTTCATCAGCCTTGACATGAGCTTAGACAATTTTCTCTGGTTTAAGTTCTGACACCGTCAACCTTAAGGGCTCAGAGAACATCTTACGTGCAACTGGAGACAGTCCCTGGTCCCAGTGGTAGAGAGTATTACTGTTTGAAAGGCTGAATTTACTAATCTTTAATGAACCTATATAATCTATAATGGATCATATGGATCTAAGATGATTCTATAAGGATATTGCCTTTGCTCTGAGGGTAGGTGCATAGTTTTCAGGGAACAGGATGTAAGTGAATTGGTGTGGACCCCAATTTGTAAGAAAGATTTATGTATTTATAGCTACCCCCCCCTTTTTTTAAAAACCTTCCCACTATGTTTCAGGCAAAATACAGAGTGATTTACAAGATGACATTTAATTTCCCACGTTAAGTATGAGAAAAACAAAAATGCTTAAGACCATTTTATTAAAATATTAGTTGAGGGCCATCAGAATGGCTCAGGGTAAAGGAGCCGGCAACCCTGACAACCCAAGTTTGGTCACATGGGGGATGGAGAGCAGTGACGCCTGTGAACTCCTCTCACCTCCACACTCAAAATAACTGAAAAAAAATCTTTCAAGCAGTTTAGGTTTAAATTGTCACCATGTAGGGGTCTTGATAGGGTTCATTTTCTCCTCCAATTGAAGAAGTAGAAGGCAGAGAAGCTCCGGAGTGCGGCAGGTGGCAGCAGGGACAGTCTCAGGCACAACAGACAGGATCGGTCTGTGAAGAAAAGCTTTGGTTAGGAGTGAGGACACACACACACTGCACACACACGCACAGCACACACACACACACCACACGCACAGCACACACACGCACAGCACACACACAGCACACACACACATGCATAGCACACACACACCACACTGCACACACACCACACACACAGCACACACGCACACAATACATACATGCACAGCACACACACACCACACACACACACCACACACACACGCACACCATACACACACAC